AAGGATCTGAAAAAAAAACTCTGTTCTTTTTGTTCTGACAGTTAAAAAGCTGACAAACAAGGTTTGATTCCAACACATTTTCACTGTGACTGAAACAAAATTCCTAGAGCAAGCCAAGACAGAGTAAAATATTTTTTGCCTCTTCCTCCCTTCAGATCAACAAGATGGAATGGTGGAACAAACTAGTCTCCACAGATCCAGAAATCAACACCAAGAAAATAAACCCAGAGAACTCAAAGGTAAAGATTCCCTTTGCTTTACTCAATAGAGCCTTCTCAAAGTGCTCAACCCAGCTCATATTCTGCTTTTTAGCTCCTTGTTCTACCAGCATGAACATAATAGTGGGAGTATTGCTGTATGTGATCTATCATATAATTCCAAATTTGATAAAATCCTTGGTTTCAGTTGTCAGACCTGGACAGCGAGACTCGCAGTATGGTGGAGAAGATGATGTATGATCAGCGGCAGAAATCCATGGGCCTCCCCACATCCGATGAACAGAAGAAGCAAGACATTTTGAAAAAGTGCGTAGACCTCATTAATTTGTGGGCCCTTGTTCTCCCAAACCCCTTTGTGCTTCCTTCACGCAAATACGTGACAATGCAGGTGACCAGGAAATGGGTTTGGCCTTGACTCCTGCCTGTTTTCATATCCACAGTTATATAGTCATGGAATTATTGGCCAACCACTATTGTCTATAAAAGCCAGTGGGGGTAGAAATGGGAAATTCTGGGAACAGCCTACTTGCAGAATTCTCTTAATCTGATTTCAAGTCCAGAAAGCATGTTTGGGGATGGAGGTACCATCTGGACTGAACTTTAATATGGTCTTGATTGTCTTCTAATCTCCCTCTGTTTAGTAGCCCAGATAATCTCTCCCCGCCATGCACCTGCCATCAGACAGCTGTCTCCAAGCCAATAGCACTTTTATGTTTTTATTGCCCTGTTTGGCACAAATGACAGGGAAATTACTCACGGAACTCCCAAGGTCATGAGAGAAAGGGTGGGGTAACTCTGGGTTAGGCAGCTTCCCCAGTGAGTGCAGTCCTGCGTTTTATCTCAGGGCTGGAAGGAGGATTAACGTAGCCAACTTGTTTCCTGCTCCTGTCTCCCCTTTTCCTTGATTCAGCAGCACTGGCAGAAGCTCTGATCAACACGCAGTGTCTTGTGCTGAGTTCAGGGAAGGGTGAAACAGTATTTTAGAGCAATAATCATACTTGCTCAGTGTCTTTTTGTTGAATTAGTGGAATGGGAGGCAGTCTACGCCTCCTGGGAAGTGCATGTACAGGATAGCACCCTGGCAAGGTCACTCATTCAGTATTCTGTAAATTTGGCTTCTGTGTTGGCTGGTAGAGAACGGATACAAAGCTTAGACTTTGGCCAGGTCAAAGTGGACTCGACAACTCCCAGTCAAATCCTGATCTCTGCCAGTCAAGTCCTCCTGGCTGCTAAACAAGGACACTGTTTTTGCAGCACATATTTCCATGGAAATGGAAAGCAGAATGCCATGGTGACATTTCAGGGGAACCCGTAAGATGAGAGCAGGGAGGGAGGGAAGGGCCTGCCTTTGCTTAGACCTCGTGCACACAGATCCCTTGGTGAACCGCAGGCCCGGGCAGGAGGGAAGGGGCTTCTGCAGGCACAAAGCACTTGCAGGTGTAGGGTGCTGTTCCCAGAACTTTCTGAAGTGGCAGCTGGAGGTCAAACAGCAATATCTGCTGGGACTGCAATTCAGCTGAAATCAGGTTGCACCAAATCCTAAATCAGGGATCTGATTTTTCTGGCTACTTCCCCTCATTAGTTTTCATTGTTGCAGCTGTGGAGACATCATTACCCCTGTCTCCAGGAAGTTTAAGCATGTTTAAGCTTAAGTCATAATCTCCCCTCTGCCCCACAATCGCTGTCATAGCTGCTACGTGTCTGTCCAAGAGTGTCTGATAATTAATAGCTCACGTGCCTACACTTGCTGGCCTTGCTGGCTGGTAGCGCTGCTGATACCACTGACATGGGGAGAAAGCTTTTCTAGAATAGACTTGGACTCTGCTCCACGGAGCTCAACAGAATGGTCCCAACCGACCCAAGTCGGGTTGAGGGGGGCACCAGGCTCTTAGGCACCGTGTCTCTCTAAGCAGCACTATTTTGTGACTGCTGCTGGCTCATACCAACCTCCTGTCTTTGTTTGCTTTGCAGGTTCATGGAACAGCATCCAGAAATGGACTTTTCAAAGGCTAAATTCAACTGAGGCCTCCCTTTCTCCCCCCGCCCCTTTCAGTCAGCCCATCGAATGGGGCAGGATGTGTAGGGCAGGATACGTAGGGATCCCTTACCTTGGGCGAGTAAACACTTCCAGCATCCCCACCCAAGCTTGCCACAGAGGCAGCTTGGTGATGTTGTTCTCTCTTGTCCCGTGTTGAGCAGAGCGCAAGGCCACAGAGTCGGCCTGTAGCAGCGCATCAGTCAGAGCCGTTAAAGAGGTTGGGAAAGAGAAAAAGGTTCAAAAGCAAAAAAAAAAAAAAAAAAAAAAAAAAAAAAGCTAATGTTAAGTCTACAGGAGCCAGACTCAAGAGGTTTTGGAACATATCCTCAATATATTGCTGAGTTTAATTTCCTGAGTCTTTAGAGCTGTCAATCCCCTCTTAGCCATTTCAGTTCTGGCAGAAGGTACTCTTAAATTTTATCCCTTCCCCCCCTGGCTTTCCTGCTGTCCTGTGAAAACAGAGGCTGCTTATTTTGTAAAAAGTACTTAGTGCATTGCTCTGCTTCTGCCTCCCTGGGCCTTCAAAAGGAAACATACTGGTAAGAAGGAGCTGTTGTTCTAAAGACACTGCTCCTCCTCTGAATCAGTCTGCTTCATGCAGCAGAGGCCAGGGACTGAATGGGGGAAACACAAAACTAGTTCCTCTCTTTTCCCTTGTAATGGGTCAAGGGTAAATCACATCCACACAGGCGGTTTAGCAGCCAAGCTGCACTCGGGTGCCTTCCTGCTTTGCTGCTGCTGTGCTTTCCAGAAGGGGAACAGATAGAGCTCGGCAGAGCTGTGGGTGCGTGGGTTGACCTACTGCCCTAGGAAAGGGGAAGACTGGAGAGCCTGTGGTCAAAGACAGGGTCCGGGGGTCTCGGAGGGCTGCCCTTCCCACTGGGAATGCATCTCCTGCCTCTTTGCCAAGAGCCTCTCTCCCTGCTGACCATTGATGGGTGGTGCTGCTTTCCCGGAGCTCCTGCTGATGCGCGACATCACTCTGCATGTTCATATCCTTGTTAAAACTGCAGTGCAACAGAGAGAGAGAGAGAGTGGCTTATTTCCAGGGCGAGCGCGTGATTTTTCCTGCAGGAGAGATGTGAGCAGCTTGTGCGGGCTTGGATGGGACCTGAAGTGGGTAGTGCCTGTGAATGACAGGGCCTGGGGCTGCACTCAGGCTCTTGGGCTCCTTCTGTGACCGAATGCTCCCTGGCACCTGGAGCTGAGCGTCTCTTGTTCAGAAATGCTGACGGACTCCAACCGAAAGCTCACAAGGCTTCGTTGGCAATGACCAAGACCCGTCGCACCAGACTCTGCTCTCTGTGCAGCAGAGCACGACTGCCCTGGGGAAGCCACCCTTGCCACAGCTCTGCTTCCTGGTAAGCCAATAAGGAAAAGTCTGGGTATCTCTGATGGCTCCCCAAAACCTGGACTCCCATTAGTTCTTCGCAGGCTACTCAAAAATAATCCTGGTGCTACAGTTAATTCTCACCTCTGTCCCAGCCGAGATATCTCCATCTCCTACCAGAGGGAATGCGCATAAACAGCCAAAAAACCTGCTTGGCCAAAGTCTATCCTGTTGGGACACCTCACTTGTTTGTTTTTATTTTTGAGTAGTAGGACATTGTTTGCCTTTAGTCTCCCAGTTTTACAGGTCAGCAGGCACCCAGGTAAGCAGTGACCTTGTGGACACACGTAGGTGAGGGGTGAGGAGTGCAGGGGGCCCAAGGTGTTTCAGGGCCAGACGAGCCTCCCCAACTCCTCGGGTGTGCGCTGGGAGCAGCAGCTCTGCTGCTCCTTGCATTGGAGGAGCAGCAGGAGAAAACAGGGTTGGGCTCTGCACGTGCAGCAGGGTCTGCATCCGGCCTCTCCTATGGAGCAAGCACAGACAGGCACTTGCGTGGCAAACAGGCACCAGCAAAGAACATGTGCAGTTCACAGCACCACCTAAAGCCCAAACTGCTATTTTGTCCTTTCCTTGTTACCGCCTTTTCTCCATCTAGCCAACACCAGGAACCCTGAGTCCGGCCTCACCAAGCGAGAGGTCAGACCGAGAATCCCCTGGATCAGGTGGTGCAGGGCTGCACGGCAGCTGCCCGCATCCCCATGTGCCGTTAGCGGAGCAGTGCTCCCGTCGGGACCGCAGGGCTGCCTCGAGTTGCAATGCAGCAACTCCTGAACCCCAATTTCTGCATCTTGTCCTCTTCCCCACCAGGTCTCGTCACCCGGGACCATGCAGCAGTGGGTGGTGCAGTTGTGCCTTTGACATTCCCAAGTTTCCCGGGGACAAGGCTCTCATCTCATTGGCCTCCCTTGCAGCCGAGCAGACAGCAAAGGTGGTGGCAGGAGCCCTAGAGGAAACTGGGCAGGGGAATTTTTGCAGGGAAGAAAGATAAGGAAGCTAACCGAGTCCTCCAAGCAGAACTGAGCCCTCATTTCAGCTCTCAGCCGCAGGCAGGTGAATGGCCTGGGCTGTGTTTGTGGACTGCAGCCGATCCGAGCGCTACCCCTGGACTTCAACCCTCGTGGCCAGCGGAACAGAAGGTGTTGCGCCTGCCGGCCTTGTCCTGTGCAAACCACCCTGCTGTCATTGACTTTCCCTGGGCCAAGCTGAACCAAACCCACCCTTTGGCTCCCAGATGGCAGCTTCCTCAGGGACAGCCTGTACAAGGGCAGCACATTTCTGTCCCCAGCTGCTGCAAATGCCACCTACGAGTTGAAAATACCCTAGCTGAGCATGACCGTGCTGTGGCCTTCTCTGCCACCAAGGCAAGGAAACTGGATCTGAAGGGCAGCGGGAGCCAAGTCTGGCAAAAGCTCCCGTGTCTTGAGCACTAGCAACCGCCTGGGCAGGCGGGAGACGAAGGTCCCTTCGCTGTCCCACGTGTGTTTCCAGGTACGTGGAGAAGCCGTTCCAGTGCTGCCCCCCTCCGGAGCAGAGGCCGCCGGCACCCGCAGGGCTCTCCCGCCGCACGGGTGCATCAGCTGCACCCAAAGCAAAGCGCGCCGTGAGCGCTGGCACCGGCCATGGCCCCGAGCAGGGCTGGGGAAGGGCCACAGTCAGCTCCATGGCTTGGAGCTGCAATGGGAGGGTTAAAGCGCGGATCGGGGGGCGGCTGGGCTCCCCCAGCGCTGACAGGTCCCCAGGGAGGTGGCCCTCGCAAGGGACACTCGCTCCCGGTCTAGGAAAGGCCAGCTCCCTTTCCCCCACCTTCCAACAAGGAAGCCTCGCGGTTCGCAGGCTCTGCCGGGGTTTTCCCGAGCTCCCCCCGATCCAGCACCAGCTGTTGGCTGGACTTTCCTTAGGGAATATCCCAGCCCAGGGCACTGGGGAAGCGGCCTCGGCTGCTTTGAGAACAGCCTTGAAATGGCAAAAGGACAAAGGACGGACTGGAGGCGCACGGTGCTCAGCACTGCTGCCTGCTTTGAGGAGAACCCAGAAACCGAAGACCTGCTCGGCCCCAGCCTCCCCCCAGCCCCGTTCCTGCCGCAGGCCCCGGTTCCCACCCCAGTTCCGGCCCGGAAGCACAGGGTTAACGCGGAGGACTCACCATAGAGAGCGGGAGCGCGAGCGGCCTCTCTCCTTGTCTCCATGGTACAGCCGACTTCCGCCGCACGCGGCCTTTGGGGGGTGATGCCTCGTGGGCGGGGTTATGCTAAGCAGGTAGCAGCGATTGGTCGACGAGAGAAGGGGGTGGAGCGAGTGCGGCCATGACCCGCCCCGTAGGGCCGTTGCGAGAAGTCCCCGGGAAGCCCCGGCCCCGGGACGGGAGGTTCCC